CCCATCTCGAAAGTTATCCATTCCTTGACCGAGATACTGCCAGAAGAGCCCACCGGCACAAGAGCCTCCATTTCTGGACGATGAATAGATGGTGTTGTAGGCTGTCCAGTAGTAAGCATCCCTCTGAGAGGTGCTGAACTGCCTATTTGATCTTCCAAATTCGGTGATCATGAGTGGTTTTCCGATGGACGCTGAGTCTTGGGAGTGCGACGTGATCCAGCTTTGAAGAAATGAGGTTTGGGCGTAATCGTCAGCTCCATTAATCCTGCATCAAGCATCATCCTTTTAGTCACAAAATATATAAAAGACATAAATATCGTGTAATTTGAGGACTATATATATACATGTTTATTATTACATTATCAGGTATAGATATAGATAAAGGAGGTTCACATATTTTAAGGATTATACAACTTTGCTTTGTCCAAAGCCTTATGATGCAACGATACGTTGCTTACTCTTTTTTCACTATTAATAGAAAAAGCGTTAGTTGTAAAATATTAAATATGAGTGATTTTACCCTATTTCCAAAGAGTTTTACCCTCTTTTGAATCCATAACATGCTTTAGAACATAAAACAAACTTACCATTGATCGGGATAGATGTGAATGGTGGTGAAATCGATTTGAGAGATCTGATTGTTAGCAATGAAATCAGACCCAACTTCATAACCAGGATTGTATTGTTTCCTATCAGGCCTCGACTCTCCATAGAATCCTTCAAGCCCAGCTTCAAGCATGTGGTTACTATCGATAGATTTCACAAAACCAGCCATTTCAGATATCCAATTCTAATGCACAAACATAAATGAAGTTAGCAAAATTGTAATAGGCGTGCATGTTTGTGTAAGAAATATTACAGCTTGCATTGTAAACCTGTAGGGTTGATCCTGAGTTATCACTCTGGCAACGGGGCTCATTCATGAGCTCCCATGCAAAGATGGTAGGATCATCCTTGTACATTACTCCCGTTATCGAGTTAACCCTTGTGAGAACAGCCTGAATCATGACAATTATAAGTAACAAAATACCAAATTGGATAAAATGAATCAAAGAAGCTCAGTTAATATGTTACCTTGATATGGTTCTTATAGAATTGCTTTGTGAGATAGTTCCTAAAGAAATCATCATCAGAGTTCAACCACTGCCCTTGGTCTCTAGCCCACTGAACATACTGCTTCTTCCCTCCATAACCCTCCCAGTTATTTACCAGACTCAATATCAAATAAACTCCATTATTCCTAGCCTCAGAAATCACAAAGTCCAATGCCTGTCATAAAAAATTGCAAGTTAAAAATTAATACATCAGACTTAAAAATTTGTGACATATATCAGTATATAATATTGTTATGTTATATACCTTGAACATGTCTTCACTGTAATAGCCAGGAGAAATCTGAAGGGCCCTATAGCCACCATCACTAAAAGCCCAAGTCCTCACAACATTCAAACCGTAACCTTTTGCTTGCTGGAAAGCATTAGAGACTTGATATCTCGTCGACGGGTCTCCTGCCATATACATCATCCAATAAGCATTGAACCCGTTAGTATAGAACGGGCGACCGTTCATCATGAAATGGGTCCCGCTTGTTGAGGCAAAGCCTGAACCCTTGACAGGATTGGTAAAAACTAGCATGGCTAAAAGAAGAAAGCTGCAAATGCCTTGGCTCTTCATAGTGGATGGCTCTAGGAAGAAGAATAAGAGTTTGGCGTGGATTGGAGTCGAGAATGGCATGGGGTTTATATAGAGTTGAGGTAGCTAGCTTTTCCATTTCATGGCGAAGTTAGCCAATGGAGGTGATTGAGATGCACTTGAGCACTGAAAAGGGAGTAGGTTGAGAACTTTCTGTTATTTTCTCTTTTCATTATGGTGGATAGAGTTTTTTCTTAAGAAGGAAGCTGCTATGCTAGTTGATAACTGCATGAACTGAGCTAAACTTGTGTGTCAATATACGTAAACTTATGAAAACTTCAACTATTTGCACAGTTTGTAAAATTATACAAAGTGACAAAGGGAATGTATGCACATGCACTCTCAATATTTTCGTCAGAGTAATCAATGAGCAACTACCATTTGTAACCGTCTTATGATAAACGTGACGTCTCTAGCTTCCAAGCTATCTTCTTGAATTCCTTGTAGCTAGCTAATGCTTGATCCAATATTTTGTTATACTAGGTTCCTTCGCCTTTATGCATTTTTGTCACTGAAACTTTCAGTTTATGTTGTTAGACGCTGCATTTATCCATGCCATTTTATCCGCAAAAACCGCGGATGAATTCAACTCGGACTTTCTTTCTGTCAAAAAAATTGGAGTTCCATTTTATCTTAGTTTCATCCCCGCAAATCTACAGCTAGAGTCTATAGAACCTTCCTAGCTAGGGATATATTCGTAATATACACAGTCAAATTAAAAGAAAAAGTAATTACAATCATTTTACAATATATTTATTGCAACTGTCATATTTGGCTAATATCCGCTAACAAAGGTTTTCATTATGCCTTGTTCCTTAGTAAGAATAATAAACATCGCGCTTAGCGCATGTGTGATGTGTTATAGAGAGCTAATATTGTCTTCATCTTTCTCTTCATGATATGTGCCAAAATGAGTTTTGGACTGAAAATCAGAATTTTCTCTTGAAGCGTGTAGACTGAAGACAACGAACAACGAGACAAACAGCTGTTAAAGGCAAATAAATTGACTCAACAAATGTGCAGCCTCTAATATATTGCAACAGAAAAAGAGTTCAAGTTGGTTATCGGCAAGGTTTTGTTGATATATAAAATAATGCGGTACCTCATACGCCAAGGCAATTGGGCAGCAGGCATGAATAAGTGCCTAGCCTAACTACATTAACTGAAAGCTTTGAGGATTAAAGTAAATAAAGGAGCCAAGTTGATAAGATATATATAAATGCATGCATATACAGGAATAATGTAGCATAACAAAATATAACTGATCAAAGAACATACACAAGTTATGGAAGAAGATAGCGTGGAAGTTGAAGATGTCACTTTAATGATAAAAAATGACGCTAGATATTACTTTTAATGGCAGTTGCTTATTTGCTACTTTTTGATCGAAGAAAATAGCGCTGATGCATGCATGCATGCATGCTTACGTTCTATGGACGACATCTTAGGATTTGTAGAAGCACTTTAGAGAAGAAGGAAAAAAAATTACATGTATCATGCCGTAAAGCTTACAAATAAATTTATGCAGTCATTCTTTTATGATTCCCCTCTGAAGCTTTTATATGTTTTCGTGAAGGGCATACTTGACAACTGGTCAAATTGTTTTATAGGTCACTTTACTTTTATGGCTTATAAGCGATTGCAACGTGTTTGGCGACATGCTT